TTTCTGTTTCCTCCTCCTTAATGTTTTAGTTAAGCTTCTTCTCAGAATCTACCCATTTCTCTTTGATGATCTCAGCAGAAGGGCCTCATACATTCAGCACTCGCTTCCAACTGATGCACAACTAGATTTAAAGTGTAGTATAGGTTTATGACACTTACTGGTAATGTTTTGCATCAGTTTAAGCCCTTAGACAATCTTTAATATAAGAAGTGCCATACCCAGAGCGCTGTGATGGCTGTGCTGTAGTACACCCCTGCATTGGCAGATGGAGTCAGAGAATCACACCGAGAACGGGAGGTGGTGGCAGAGGCTTCTGTGGTCAGAGCCTGTATCACAGAGCTTCAGATGAACCCAGCACAGAAAACAAGCGATAAGAACAAAGAAGGTCAGAGATTTTCTGAATTCTGGAGGGTTTTTTCTTTTTTTTTTCTTTCTTTTTTCTTTTTTCTTCTTTTTTTTTTTCTTTTTTTTTTCCTTTGGGAAATTAGCTTGCAAAAAAAAAAAAAAAAAAAGAATTGATTTTCATGAAATTTAATGATGAAGAAATTGAAAAAGCATTTTAATAGTGTCATACAATTAATTTACCACTTTCATTATGCTTTTCAGAATAAAGTGACAAAGTTTGAGACTCAAAGCTTTTTATTARTTAATTCTTTTAGGATACCACATTTCAGTTTTCCTTAAACAGTATCTCCTCTGGAATCTTATGTTTTAAGAAACTTTAAAATGTTCTTTCTCCTCCTTACCTCCAAATGGAATGAGAAGAACTTTCCAAAAGTCAGAATCTCCTTAAGAATTCTGATTGCTGAGCAGCTGAAAATAATGAGTGGTGGAACAGCAAAAGYATCTACTAGCTATTCTGAGAGATTCAAGGGAGACAAAAATACTCAGAATTTATTTTTAAGGCTGGTAAATTGGTAGTCACCTTACTCCTGCCAATGGATCATGTGGGAAGGATAACATCAACATTTTTGCTCTGGGTCTGATTGCTCAGTGTTAACATATTGATTTGACCAGTCACAAGTGCCCCTATTTCAGAGCAGTTGAAATGTATTTGCAGAATTAATTTGTTCATTGCTCAACAAACACAGTGAYACTTATGAAATTATTAAATACTGGAATTTAGCAACTAATTAACCTCATTGAAAGATGTTGCTATGTTCAAGCAAGCAAGCAAAAAAGACTTTGAAGAAAAAAARAATATTATCGGAAAATTTTACCTTAAAAAATCTTAATTTTATAAGCAACACGTTTCCAGTAAGGGCAGTGACTTTCTAAACAAGGCCCAGTGTTCTTGGCCACTCATTCACTTGTTGATATAAATCTAATGATGATTTTAATCTATATCTGTGCTGTTGTAAGTGATGATTGAACCCAATTAAGTTTTCTTGATTTTCATTAAGAAATTATGGATGGGGAGCCTCACAACATCTCACTGCATTTGCACTGGTGTAAAACGGAGAATATCCCCCAGAGCCGATGTGACACTTCCCTGGGACAGAGGCAAGAGTCAAGCAAATGTTTCTTTGTGTCCCTTCCATCATCCCCAGCTAAACTCCCATGGTTGGAAATCTCTGATAACTTACTAATAATTCATGAGACAGAGTAAATACTGGCTAGTTCTGCTGCCTCTACAGTTCTAACAAGTAAAGTTAAAACTTTGCTTTGTTTCCCTCTCCAAAAAAAGCAAATTCAAGCAAAGCCATAAAGAAGGATATGGTTACTCTCTGGTGATACTTGCACCTAGGCAAAAATGTGTGTGATAGCCTTCGAATAAAGACTATTTTGTTGTGCTGGAGTCTCCTTCTCTGGAGATCTTCCAAACCCACCTGGMTGCCRCCCTGTGCCCCGTGCTCTGGGTGTCCCTGCTGGAGCAGGGGGTTGGACTAGGTGATCTCTAGAGGTCCCTTCCAACCTCARCCATCCTGTGATCCTGTGAAAATGCCTTGCAGTTAAGGTGTCACGTTCCTGAAACATGGGAGATGAACACAGTATGAGTTTGGCAGCTGTGGAAATGTAAAAGCAAAAAACAAAGAAAAAAAAATGTAACTCCTTGTACAGAAAACATTGCCATCAAAACAGTCAAGAGATTGCTATTTCTCTTGAATTTTGCTTTTGTGCATATCTTACAGGAAGAGCATTTTCCAGACTCCTACATTGCTGTAAACACTGCGAGAAGAGCCGGTGCGCGGCTTGGCAGAGCTGCTGAGAGCGGCAGCAGCCGAGGCGCATCTGGGGAGCAGCACGGGCACGGCAGAGCTGCGCACGGAAACGGCTGCCGGCAAGGGAACAGCCCRGACACCCTGTTTCACTTACAATTGTATGCTTTATCCGTGGCAAAATTAAAAATAAAAAGTGCTTTCCCCTTGCTAAGGAAACTGTAAGGATTCAGGCTTCCGTACTACTCAGCACTTCCCCTGAGACCTGTTCTGCCCGTCATACCCAACTGAGCAGCTCCATAAACCATCAAGCAGACCCATGGCAAAACACACCTCATTTTTTATTCAGATAAACTGACTAAAGGTGTTTTCTGGGAATTTTATTTATTGCTCTTCAATAAAAATATGATGAAAGGACTTTGGTATAAAGTACATGGTATTTCAAACATTTTTGTTCACCCCTCTGGCATCAAGTTGGCTTCTAGATTGATACTCAATGTGGTGGGATGACTCTCCATGCAAAGAACTGCTTGTAGAGTCATCACTCAAATACAAGGCATTGGGAGAGTACATGTTACTTGTTTCTTTGTAAAATGCAAGGGTAGAGTTATTTTCTAATATTTTTTTTCCCTATGGCTTCTTTTCTCCACCTCTGTTAAAAAGAATAAGGCTTAACAATTTATTTTTCTCACTGAGCAAAGATAGTCTTCCAGGTGTTGAATAACCAGAACTAAAGAGATTCCTTTAACATAAATGACAAAAAGTCTAAATCACMCCTAACTGATGTGCTGTATTTACACTGCTATTCCTCTCAGGCTCCAGCTCCAGCTCTAGTTCCTTCTTCTTCGGTCCTCAGCACAAAAGCTCTAAGTCTAGTGAACGACAGCTAGTGAGCAAACTTAGATTGGGGTAACCTTCCCAAAAGGGGCTAGAGACGGGCAGGAGACTAAGGACTTGTGTCAAGGTCCCATTCACGGTTCACTCTGCACGCAGCAGCCAAAACCTCTCTCGATGAAGGGTTTGGAGGTGCTGACTCCTTGGTGTTCTCCAGCAGAGCGTGTCTGGTGCCATACAGGAGAGACTGAGCTCCACGCGGAGAAGGGGGAAGTCTGCAAGTGCTGCAGAGCCTTGCCCCAGTTTCACGTGTGAAACTGCCTTAGAGTTTGGCACAAGGACAGGGCTGTAATGTGGGTGATTTACTCTTCTTTTCATGTCCATTTCCCCTTTTCCTCCCTCCTATATGGTAAGGGGAATGACAGTTTCTTCAGTTGACCTSTTTCCCGAGGCCCACTGGAAGCAAAGGCTTATTGCAGTGATAGACACACCAGTTAGTCTCCTTGCAGGTTTGTACTTCTTCTGATGATCAGGTGTCCTCTTGACATTAATCCTCTTGTTCTTGTCCTCTCCTTCCTGAGATCTTGATAGCAAGTGTCCTTATCACCCTTTGAAATCTTCGTGCTTTTGAGTGCTCAGGAAGGATGAATTTCTTCACCCCTTCAACTCCATGTCTTGTTGCCTCAGTTGATCAGATTTTCCTTCTTTTTTCCTCCCAGCTAAGCAGACATCCTGTTCCAGACCACAAACTGGTGAGCTCTGTCACAGATACGTTGAACCTACAGGTATCTCATAATGGCACAGCAACATTTTTGTTCTTCTGCAAGCAAAGCAGATCCCTGTTGCCACATTGAAGGTTTGCCTTGTACTGAGCTCCTTGGAAATCAGAACTTCCCATTTTGGTTTTGTTTCCAAACCACAGTGACAATTACAGCCTGTGAAGGGGCAGGAGGCAGGTGTGGAAATTTTGTGGCTTTTTACACTTGCATAGATCAAAATGATGACATGTGGAGGAGCTGTTTGTTATCTGGTCATATAGGGCACACATTTCTCAAGCCAAAGGTGACCTACAGTGGACTATTGCTAACAAGCATCTTAAAAAGAGCTCTTTCTAAGTTGGCAGATGGAAATGCTGGCTACACAAGCGACCTATTTACTTTTAAAATGTGGGAGAAATATGAACCCTACACTCGTTTCCAGGGGTGGTGAGTAGAATCTTTTCACTTTTACACAGAAAGTCTTCTATGATCTGAAAATAAGAGTTAAAATTGTGCAGACCAAAGGATATCATGAAGGTGTTTGGCCCAACCAGGAAAAAAAAAAAAAGAATAAAAAATAAATAAAGAGGAAAAATCAATTCCTTCTCTTTAAAATTTCCCTTTTGTTGGAGTTTCTCTCTGCTCTGTGTTTCCCTGGGACCTCTCATTACTTTCCCACCATCAATTGAGCACCCTGCCCCGTGATCAGCACATCTGCTCTTCTTCATCTCCCTTCAGTTTTCCAGCCACATTAGCAATAGCAAATTTATTAAATAATAAAACCCAACTCTTCTACTAGTTGGCTGTTGCTTATTTTTYTCTTGTGGTTACTAATAAAATAAAAGGAGCTCCCCTGAGCAGCGCATCTGAGAGGCCGGAGCGCTTTCAAGTGCGGCAGGGTAGGAGAGGTCTCCAGAGCTGCTCTTCTGCAGCGCCCTTTAAAAGAAGCCTTCGAGGGAAAGTTAACTTAATTCTTCATCACTAGAAGCTTCATAATTGGTCACAGTAGAGTTAAAACTACCTCTTCATTGTATCTGCTGCTGAAGCAGCCTTCTGTTAAATTGAAAACTAGGTAAGCCTGACTGCTTGTGTGTTTTCCAGCATTTCTGCTCACCCAACGCCACTGCCGTCAAGGCAGCAGGACTGTCCTGAAGCCACTGTAATGCTCTGCTGCGTCAGATGTAATCTTCAGCTTTGCATCTACGTGTTGCATAGACTTGTTATCACCCTCTGTCCTTCAAGGCGTTACCTGTTTGCAGAATTGGCTTCTAATGAGAGGCCAATGYGCGCAGGTAGCGTCTGCTGGGAGCTGGGAGGGAGGTGAAGAGCAGCCAAAGGGGCTGCTGTTGTCACCCTCTCCCTGTCCCTGCAGGTGAGGATCTCCCTGCAGATACTCGTGCAACGTGAGGGCTCACAGCAAAGTCGCCAGGCCTGGATCATCGAGTACTTTTATTGTATGTACTGAATCATAAAATATGTGGTAAGAAGCGCAGAGCAGCAATAAAGTAATTAAGCTGGTTAAATACTTTGTGTAAACAGCAGGCAGTGCAAATAGAGCCTTCCTCTGAAGGAGGAGGAGGTGGTTTGGAGCAGCCTGTAGGGATGAACCGAGGGTCAGCCATGCCTGACCAACCTGATTGCCTTTGGTGATAAAATGATTTGTGGAAAAGGAGAGAGCAGCGGGTGCCATTTAGCTTGACGTAGCAGCCTTCCAGCCTGAATTACTCTATGATTCTATGAAATACAACATTTTATACTCTATACTCACACAGAGTCCAAAAGCCAGTGTGAAGGTCAGTGCCTGTACTTACTGTGTTTGCTAAAGACTGCTCTGCAGAAAGCTTCCTATATCTCCTGGGCAGTGACTGAGATTGATTTTATCACTCCACACTTATTTTATCGTTAGCCACCTGCAAAGGTATTGCCTGGGAAATGTAGCAGCTTTCTGTCCAGCAACAAGTACAAGAGTGGTCTGTACTGAAATAAYATGAAGGGCTGAAAAGGTCAAAGTGCATTAGAGGGTGTAAAGGGGCTCCCGGGCAAACAGGAGGGAGAAAGCTTAAAGAATGAGGGTTGTGCAGGGACCCGAGATACTTGGTCTCTGCTCACAGCAGGAGCTTGACACCTGTAATCCACTTGGCGTGGTAGTTTCTTGATTTCTTCAAGGAACACGGCGCCTTCATTTCCACTGCCACACAAGAAAATAAAAAGGAAGAAATACAGCAACAGCTAGTGTGGTAACAGCTGGTGTTAAAAGTCATTTTTACTGATATGAGTGTATATAAGGAATGCAAATTTCTTTGGAAATACCAAAATAAACAGTGCTACCACTATTTAGTTGCATCTTTAATTGACCGTTTGGGATATCTGTCAGTGCTCCTTAGCACAGTGAACAGCAAGCACAGGTTGTCCGTGAAGCCAGGAAGGGGTCGTTTATTTGACCGCTCTCATTACTTGAGTGTGTTTCTATAATGCAGCGAACAAAGATGATTTAGGCAGAAATAGCTTAGCTCATCTGCTCGGGAAGGAGGCTTTTGCAGCCACCCAGCAATTTTCATTTGGCACCCTGGACCAAAGTGCACATTACAGGAAAGATCCGGCTCCTGAGTCATGCAAAAAGGCTCTGCAGCCTCTTGCTACGAGCGCAGGGATTGCAGGGGAGCTGCCAGAGCTGCCGGGGCAGCACACGCTGCCCTGGCCCATCCTGAACTGCTCCGGCGCAATGAGCAGATTGCCTGCGAGTTCCTGCAGGGCACGCGGTGCATTTCAGAGTATATACTGGGTCCAAGGATCTCACTCAGTCTGCTCTTCATCCTGAAGGGTAATGGGGGTATCACCCACTGCTGCTGCGGCTCCGGGCTGAAGTCTCCTGGAGATGCATCCAGAGCCCACTGAAGAATCCCATGGAGGTGTCTGCGTGCAAGCAACACCGCAGCATTTGCTTTGGGGCAAAGTTACCCTTGYTTCCAAGGGAAAATTATTAATAATGTGCCTAAATTGATAAGGAGAAAAAGTATACTTTAATGGAAAAATATACTTGATCAAGTAATCTAAGTCTACTGTAAGACATCAAGATATCCATGGAAAAAATGAAAAATAAATCTATTTCTTGGTCAAGGATTTCAGTTCACAGATTTTTCAATTGTAGGAGATGACAGATTTCCATACTTGATTTCACTGCATTCACTGCATTCATAGATCATCATGTTTAACGTCCTACTTTGATAAACAGTGCAAGTTTATCAAAAACTGGCACACTAGAACGACTTGCCACCTTCGTACACTGCTTCTCTTCATTAGGTAGTTTTTCTTCTCATTATCATTAAAGAAATCTAAAAATTAAAGCCTAGAATTACACATTTGCTAAGTTTTTGATATGAGTACAGCTAATGAGTTGGGCAGAGAAGAACCTCATGAGGTTCAACAAGGACAAGTGCAGGGTCCTGCATCTGGGGAGGAATAACCCCAGGCAYCAGTACAGATTAGGGGTCGACCTGCTGGAAAGCACCTCCACGGAGAGGGACCTGGGAGTCCTGGTTGACACTAAGTTAACCATGAGTGAGCAGTGTGCCCTCGTGGCCAACAAGGCCAATGGGATCCTGGCTGCATCAGGAGGAGTGTTGCCAGCAGGTCAAGGGAGGTGATTCTGCCCCTCTACTCAGCTCTGGTGAGGCTGCACCTGGAGTACTGTGTGCAGTTCTGGGCTCCCCAGTATAGGAGGGTCGTGGAGCTTCTCGAGAGGGTCCAGAGAAGGGCAACCAGGATGATTAAGGGAMTGGAACATCTCTCGTATGAAGAGAGGCTGAGTGAGCTGGGCCTGTTTTCTCTGGAGAAGAGACGGCTCAGAGGGGATCTGATTAATATGTATAAGTTYAGGAAGGGAGAATGCAGGGAKGAAGGGGACAGGCTGTTCTCACTGGTGGCCAGCGATAGGACGAGGGGTAATGGCCACAAGCTGGAGCACAGGCAGTTCCGTCTCCAGGTGAGGAGGAACTTCTTTACTGTTAGGGTGACAGAGCAGTGGAACAGGCTGCCCAGGGAGGTTGTGGAGTCTCCTTCTCTGGAGGTCTTCAAAACCCGCCTGGATGCCGCCCTGTGCCACATGCTCTAGGTGKGCCTGCTGGAGCAGGAAGGTTGGACTAGATGATCTCTAGATCATTCCAACCTTAAATATTCTGTGATTCTGTGATTCTGTAATGGTAAAAAATAGCCAAATCCCATCATAGTGAAGAATCTGTGTAGCAAGAAAAGTCCTTCCAGCAACAACTGAAAATTTGCAGGTTCTGAAATGCTCCCACCAAATGAGAACCCGTGCCTAAAGTAAATCCTCTCCTGCTGTAATGGTAGTAACTAATATTTGGGTATCTGTCACAGCAGATGAGAAGCCCTTACAGTGGCTGCAAGCAAGGAGGACGCAGTACAACTGCATACAAGTTATTTATCTTGGGGGGTTGACGTACCACTACTGTTGGGCCTGGAAAGGTGTTAAAAACGGGTGTCAAAACAGTGTTCAGAAGTGGGGGATTGTGGCAGTCAGTTTGTTTGAAGCAAACGAGGATTCTGGCAATGCCGGCGCACAGAGTGTGGGATAAATATTAAGTGTTTCCATGCCATTATATAGTTGTGTTTGCCCAGGAGAGGTTCGTGTGGGTAGTAAATATAGCTGAGAGACACGCAGCCCAACAGAGGTTATCCTGGAGCCCACGTGATTTACCCCACTGCCTCATATCAGTGTTCAGGGCACAAGGAAGCATGTGCTGTAAAAAATTATTTTAATCCTGTAGAAAGCTGTATGAAATGTTGGGAATCTATTTTTCAGTATCATAGGTCTGATTCAGGACCCTCTGACAGGCCTGTAAATCGAGAGGAAGTCTAGTGAAGTCAATTAATTTGAGGTTGGTGAAATCAGCAAGTATATAGTAAATCAGGGCATAGATTTTCTGTTTAGTCACTGCATTTGCCTCTCCAAGCTTTTAGGAATCTTGGAACAAATCCTACTTTTTTTCCGTTCCCCTTTCTAAGTAGCTTGGGATACCAGTTTTGAAAACTACGACCCACATGAAGCTGGGAGCTGGAGTTTGTTGCGTGTTTCTACACACTACAGTGTTTCTGTAGTAGGTGGCCAGAAACCTTTTACCCTACGTCCAGCCTCCCATTTTTCCCCGTATTCTGCAGTTTAACAGAGCTGGCTGAACAGCCCTGTCACCCCTGGGCTTTCCAGTAACGATGCTCACGCTGAGGCTCCTTGGGGCGACATGGAGAGCACCACAGGCTGCTTCTGGCACCCGGCCGTCGTGTGACGATCYCTTCTTTCCCTGGCAGAGCTACCAGGGCTAAATATTCAAATATTTTCATTACAGGGCCCTGTGCGCAATAAATCCAACAGAAAATGCTTATATACTGTTTTGAAGATGCAAAGCATTGTGTGAGTAAGATAGGAGAGTCAGAAAGATTTGCTGCAGCTCAAAGAAGGCTGCACAACTTTGAAAGGTAAAAAAGACCCGGCATCAAAGGTACCGATGGCTTTAAAAACGCCAGACAACCTCGTGAGCAAACCCTAAATCCGGGCGAAGGTCTGAGCTAGAGAGATAAGCTGCAAAGCAATGGAAACCTCTGGGCGCTTTCTGCCTTTATGGAGGCCTTTGCCTAAACACGTCTGTCAGTGACATAAAGAATTTCCCTGTTTGCTTCGTGTTTCTGTGGAGCTCATTGCCTGCAGAAAAGTGYAGCTTTGCCCAGGATATGTTAGAAAGAGGGCACCAAAGTGTCCCTGCATGTGACTAAAATCAATGCGTTATTAGCGCTTTGGAAACCTCTCCTGGTTGCATCTCACAACATAATTTAAACTGGGCTTACTAAATAACCTTAGTTTAAATATATGCTTTGGGATACTAAAGAAAGAGCAGCTGACATCAGTCTCAATGTCAGTAAGTAATTTCAACATGTCCTAAATGTTTAAAACCAGCTATTCTGGCTTTGTTGAACTGGTAGGAGGTGCTAATTGGGAGCACTTGTTCCCAGAAGCCCAGACTACCGTGCATCTTTACATTAGCTGTGGTCCATATGGATCTGCTTTGTTCCCAGCTAAACATTTCACAAACTCACTAATCTTATTTAGCTGTGTGCAAGATTGTCTCCTACAGTGTTAAAAGCCCTTTCTTGTCACAGAAAACTGCCCCGAAATGCAGAAAAGGTGGCCTGAAGGTTGGCCTGGATGGAGAAGCCTGTTTAAACTCACCACATAGGAAAACCAGCTGCTCGGCTCTGGCTTTGGAGCTTCTCATTTAGCTGCTCTTTTGTACAACGCTAGGACTGCAAAAGGAAGCAAGTTAGGATTCAAATCATGTTTTGACTGGAGTTTAACATAAAATATGAATGTTCCCTCAGAGGAGGTTTGTAACTCCTTGGTTTGCCTGGCTGGAGACTATTAAAATTAATCT